TAGATAGGTAACTTTTGCTCAAAATTTTGGTATCTGTATACTAAGACACTACTGAAAGTACTTGAGTGTCTTACCCCACAAACACATCATTCATGTTCACAATCTCTGTGAAGTCAAGTTCTAGGTATTCTCCCCATTCCTTACTTTCCAGGCACAGAGTCAAAAGATGGTTCATTATTTTCTGTAACAGCAACTCTTCCCCATGATGAAAAACTAAGAAAACATGTGGTTTGGTTTTTTCATGTTTGTTTGAAGGCAAGTTAAATTTCCCATTATATACTACATTCTAGCCATCTTCTTCGGAAAACAGAGGTGTGTAAGGGAAATCAAACATTTGGATTATAATTCTGGCTATTCTGTGTTAACACAATGGATAATCCACACTCTGTTGTATAGATGCAATCCCATAATTTCTGATATTTGCTAGTATTTTGACTGGTGTTTATAAAAAAAAAAAAAAAAACAAACAAAAAAAACCAAAAACACACACCACCACAAATAAAGCATTCCTAATTTGGCTAAAATTTCCTCACTCTGAAACATGTTTCCCTATCCAACTCAGTGCATGCTGTTCCACATAGCTCCAAATATCAATACCATTTCTGCTGTTTTCCAGTCCTTCTTGTCTTCTCAGTCCTCTGAAAAATTTTAGAAACTGGCAGTGGTTCAAATAATTTGCCTGCCAAGTCTATTACCACCCCAGGATTCAGCTCATCTAGACTTGCTATTATTATGTGGTATCTTCGGGTTTTCCAAGGTTTCCCATACTCTTCTAAATTCATTCTGTTTAAAAGCTTTTCCGTAGATCCCCCTGCCAAAATCCTGAACTCAGAGCAGTGTCAGAATAAATGGATGATTTGCTGAGAAGGTACATTAGAGGTCTTCCCTGCTCAGCCCAGCTGCTTGGCAGCCATCACTACAGCTCCAGGGCAACAGCAACCCATGTATTTGCCATGCGTCTCCACACTGGGAGCCTGGCTCTTGGATTTAGTAAGACTCATTCATCTCTTTCTCCCCAAAGCTATCTTCTGTGCTGGAGCATTAAAAGCCCTTTATGAAGTTGGGGCTGCTGTAGCGTCAAAACAGGGGATTTTCTCAAGAACAGGTCAAAATTATTTTCCCATAAGGTAAATCAGTGTAGAAGGAAAGATGTGCCTCAGATAATTTACTAATCACATCTAATGTTTTGAGTTGTTCTCACTAAGACACACCCCTAAAGTCATAAACAGGGGGATAAACACTATCTGTCATGAACAAATACTTTTGCAAATCTAACTGGTGTCACTCAAGAAACAACCTACTTGGAATTTTCTTCCTGCCTCTCAGGATATGGCTGCCTTGGGGTTGATCACCTAATCTGGTAACTTTGCACTGAAATGGACTACAACTGCTCACACAAGCAGTTGCAATGCGATCTTTGAAAGCAATAATGACCAGCTAAAAAACCTGACTTAAAACCTAGAAGTTTAGACTAACTACTTATGGATCAACAAGAACTTGACAACTGTCCTGCATGAACCATCTCCAGTATTAGAACTAAAATGCTGCGATATAAAATAGCAATTCTTTAGCACTTAAACCTGTTAACACAGGGAGATTAACATGGAAGAATTTTAAGGACCTTCAATGTCATAGCCAAAACAAGCAAACAATTTTTTTTTTTACCCCTGTATCTTTATTTCATTTACTGCCAATTTCTTACATCCTTCCTATTTGTTTTCCAAACTGATCTTTCCTTGATCTTGTCTTTTCCAATTCACTTTTCAGTCTGTATTTGTCAGCCTTCCTTTTATTTTTTTCTTTTCCTTTGACTTTCTCCAAATCTCTGTGTCATTTTCTTCTCACTTTGCTAGCTCCTCACTGACCAGTGTCAGGTGGAATGAGCAGGAGCAATGTGCAAATTGTTCTGGAGAGAATCTTGGTTTCACACCCACCAGCTCCCCTTCATGGGAAGGCCAGGCTTCTCTAAAAACTGATTTGCACTTTTCTCTAAGTCACTTCACTTGCTATTCCAGAAATCACAGGCTTTCTACAGGCTCAGAATGGCATTCATGCCACAGGGACCAAGACAAAGTTTTAAGCACTTGCTCCATATCCCCAAGTAAAAAAATCCCCTCCATGTCCTCTGTGAAGCCAAATCACAGCTCTGTAGCACTATGAACTTTCCTCCAAATACTGATCTTAATCATCATTACCTACTTTCACCACTTCAGTAATGTCAAAGGCATATCTATCTCATGGTGTCTTACCATATCAGACTATAGCTAGATGATACTGTTGAAAGACTCCTTAAACAAGCTGCAGAATTTCAGCCTCAAATAATGTAAGATGTGGGAATTCTGAATAAAGAGGCAAATACAAAACTAATGCTCTTCATTGTCAGTTGGAAAATACAATGGTCAGGCAGCTTAGTTCTTTACAACACACTGTTTTCAACTAATTTTAGTGTTGAGCATAGTCCAGATCAAATGGCTTCTTATTTCCACTCACCTTTGTGAAGCGAGAAAGTATGAGGCAAGGAGAATTGGTCTAGAGCAAATGTCAAATCTACCCATGCCAAATACATGTTCTTCATTAATTCTAATATTGACAAGCAGTTTGTTAACTTCATGGGCCTCAGTACAGGTCAGGCTAATTTTAGTGCTGACACCATAGGCAAAGTTCTGTTCAGTACTGAGGTTCTACTTCTTGGTGTTTGGGGTTTTTTTCTAATTTGAAGTTAGTACCATTTTTAGTTCAAGTGAAACTGATTATTTCAAGCTTCTTATTAATTGGCCAAGACTTTTATTGACTTTGTTCAGCTTCATTTTGATCAAAAACTTCTTAAAAATATTATAAATCCCAAATCCCTTTCTCTTTCAATAATTTACTTTCTATGCAATTAAAATACTGTGCCTCAAACGTTTTTGTAATTCCATGCCAGAAACATACATTAAATTGGTGACAAAGATCTGCAGCACCAAACCTGGAATAAAACAATTTTTTACATGGCAACATTGACAAACTGCCATTTTTAAAGAATAACATAACTCACTTTTTCAAAACTAAGACCTATTAAAATATCTTACCTGGACATAGCCTGCAAAGAAAGAAAAATAATTTAAGAGGTGTTTGTTTTAAAACACAATTATGTGCTTACCAGTGCTGACATGTGACTGTATAACCAGCATTCTCTGAGATACTGAAACAACCCAGTGCTGTAAGATGAATTAGACTATGATTTGAATTTCTGAAGCGGTGACGGACTTCTTGTTGTACAGAAATCTGCTTGCCTCCACAGTCTTACTGCCAAGGTGTGTTTTACAGAAAGATAGTTTCCAGATATAATACTGGGATTCTGTAAAAAATTCATCTGAGACATGAGCGTTTTCTGAAACCCCTAAAACACAACTTACAACCAAAGTAAGCAGTTGTGAGAGAGAAACATGAAGGAGCAAGGTGCTGTCTCAGCACTACAAAGGTTTAGAAAACAAGTTACTGGTTTTAACTTCTATTTTCTACCTTCACTGGCAAGTAGCACATGCTAGGGAGGTAAGTAAAGACCAGACAAGCACACAGGGATTCTCTACTAGTACTCTTTGTAGTGTCCAGCGATTCATGGTTCAAAAGGATTTTCTAAGCCAGAGATGATGTTTTTACATTTTAGGAGCCTTTTGTTTTTCAAGTACTGGTTCAGCTACTTTCAAGTCATGTAAACTTTAACATTAATGAGGTGGGTTTTGTTTCTTCGGGTGCTTTTGTTTGTTTGTTTTGTGGGGGAAGGGATTGCTTATGAAGAGTGCCATAGCTCACCTTCACACCTGTGGAGACCACCTCATATGCTTTGAGCGATCACATGCAGATTCTGCTTAATAACCTCTAGTTCTGGTATGAGGAAGGACAGTGAGCAATCACTCCCTATTCCTCCTCTCCCTCTGGATTTGTGATTTTATGGACTTGTATCAATTCCCTTCTCAACCATCTGCCTTTCAGTCTATTCAGTCATCCTCATACAAGTGTTGCATGCTATTCATTATTCCTCTCAACATCCTCTAAAATCTTTCCCAGTTTTAATACATAAGTTTTGAGATGGAAGAAACTAGAACTACACACAGTATTCAAGATGCACATACACTACAGGTTTATAAATACATATTAACAGATTAATAATGCTTTATTTGCCTCTCTATTTGCTTTCTAATAACTCCCAACATTTTAATTAAAATTTTAACCTCTATTAAGATGACACTTTTAAAGATCTATGAAAACCCTAAGAACTTACTTCAATTAAAAGCCTTGTATTGATAGTTCCCAGTAGTTACGCAGAATGACTGTTTTCTTCCATATCCATTACTTCACTTTTCCTGCACTGAACTTCATCTATCATTTTATCATCCAGCCACTCTGTGAGGTAAACCTTTCCATAATTCTTCAGTTGTCATTACTAATCTGAACAGTATCTGCAAACTTTGCCATATTTCTATGCAGCCCTTCTTCCAGAAAGGTCATGAGTACACTGTGAAGCACACGCCTAGGCACAGATCCTTGCAGAATTGGTAATTTCTTTTTGCTGTGAAATGTGATGATTTATTCCTGCTTCCTATTTCTGAGCTTTTAATCGGTTATTTAACCATCTTTGAAACCTTCCTCTTATTCTACAGCAGCATGCTTTCTCTAACTGCCTGGGATGAAACCTTGTCAAAAGCCTTTCCTTTCTGAAGGTCATTTCCACATTGCTGCCAGTGCTATACATGTAGCTCAGATCCCACTTTACAAACAGCTGAAAATGATTAAAACCTGACCCTTCCTGCTCCCTTGATTCTACTGTAACACATTTTATTCAAATTTGACCTGCTACTCCCTTCCTTCCCAGTTTTCATCCCCTCTCTTCTTCCCTATTGAGTGATATACACATTTAACAAAACTGAAACAAAAGAAAGCATTTCTTGATATTATTTGTCTACAGAGCTTTCCAGCTTATATAAGTTTACAATATTAAAGGAAATACATTCACATAAAAATTAGTCTGAAATCTATCCCACATTTATTACATTTTGAAAATCAAATCAAATCCCACACACTGTTACATAATTTCCCATCACCTCCACACCACAAGCCATATACATTAACAGACAATAAAATTTCATTAGACCTTTATTGCTAATGTGAAAAAAGTTTCTAAAGAGTTCTACTGCATACTAAAGATATACTGCAGGGTTTTTTTGGGGGGATGGGAGGTGGGAGTGGGGTAGGTGGGCTATGGACAGGATAGGACCCAACAAGCTTTTGTGTCTGACTATTGAAAGCTCCACATATAAAGCTACAGCCCAGCCAAAGATATTGATATTCAAATAACTGAAGCACCACTGATTTAGAAATGTAATTTTTCTTATAGTATACAGGTGAATAGCTCATGCCTAAATACAGATGGAAACAATTTGAAATAACACGTTTAAAATCTTAACGCAGAAAATCAGACCACCAGAATTTCCAATGAAGCATTCGTTCAAGAGCAGACAGACAGCATCATAACAGAAATACAAACAACGGTACAGATGATTTAATTGGATTACTTCACTCCTATGAATTCTTCCAAACAAGCTCTTCAAGAAAGTCAGAAATAGAATTCAATTTTCATCTTTTCTGGATGTTTTGGCCTAGAGCAGTCAGTCATGCTCTCAAAGCATGTTCTCACAGAAGCAGCTGTGTATACACAACAAATCACATTTGGACATGTTTCGATCCAAGAGTGGGTAAGGACAAGCAGAGGTGAGCAGCAGGCTGTCCCTCAACACTAACACCAACAGTTGCCATAGCAACAGGAAGAATCATGGGAAGAGGCTGGTATTGATCTTCCCATCCCATGTTCATTGCTGTTTCTTCAGAGTGGTCTTACACAATGCTACCACAACCAACACCGTTGCACATGCCCAGGTTCTGAAGTTAACAGAACATAAATGATGAAAAAGAAACAGGGAACAATTACTGCTGCATTTCATCTGAGTACACAAAGAACAAGCAGCAGAATTTTCATCTTAATGAAAGCTATGCAAGGGGAGGGGGTGTGTGTGGGTGTGTGTCAGTATGTACAAGCATGCTTTACCATGCCTTCCCTCTACGGTTCATGTGTTCTGTGCATTGTCCTACAGGGCAGCACCTGTCTGCTCTCAGCATTTGTAACAAGACATTCGCCAATGCCTCAGTCAGGTAAAGAGTAGGATATAACAAAGGGCATTTTGTGCTTAGTTGAAAGCCTGCTACATCATGTCAGCGTACTGCAGAATGGCACAAAGCCAAAAGGATAAGAGAGACTACTTACAAATACTATAGAGATTTTTCACATTAACAATGGAATAGCTCCAGAGTCCCTCAAAATACGTTAGAACACAACTAAGTTCTATAAACATGGGATAATACATTACATGAGTATATAAAATATTTCAGTAAAGACTAATATTGTTTCCAAAAACTACACATAGCTCAAAATTGCATTTAGTTTGCAAATTACAGGATGGTGCTTTGTTGATACTACAATAAGGCTTAAATGAAAAATATCTTTTGAAGGTTTCACCTTCACAATTAACATTTCTTCTTAGGATATGCAAAATGGGAGAAAAAGTGTTTAAAACAGAATTAATTAAGAAAACCTTAAGACCATTCCCAACTGTATTTATGAACATTGAAGAATGACCGGAATATTTAGCAGAATGTGTGTGGCTCTAGCTAAGAGCAGAACGCTGCTTATATCAAAAAGATAAAGTATTGTTCTTGTAAATTAATATATTACTTCTGCTACACGCACTCTACATTGTCCCAATTTTATAGCAGCATAACACCTCCGTAATCCACTATATTTGCATAAAGCTGAAGTTATAAAGCAACAGTATGGGAAATACCCAGTATCTCCAGAAACTTTATAATTCAAAGTGATTAGACCCTCAAAGACAAAAATTCAGAAAATGCATCGTAGTTTTCCAAGGCAAAAGACAAATCGTCTATATTAGTACAGATATTCTTAACACAATTCTAGCATTTATACTTCATAAAAACAGATCCTGGAAAAAAACAAAACCCTAAACAATACCTAACCAATTGTGGACATCAAGATAACAACTCCACCATAATCCAAACAAATTATAACAGTATGTGATATTTGAGAGCTCTGGGAACCCTGTTAATAACAAGTCTCCCATCATAACTTAAAGAGGCAAATAGCCATGGGTCTGCTGAGGACCATTCAACTGCATAAACGCTATCTTCGTGTTCTTCATAGGTAGCTATTACACTGTCCTGAAGGGGCTCTTTAATCCTAAAATTGGAGGGAAAAAAAAGAAAAAAATAGTAAGGATCTGTGAGCACACTTGATTTAAAAGGCAATATTAACTGTCACTAACATCTAGATAAAGCAGCCTCCTATTTAAAGTATAAGAATGCAGTAGTAGGCTCTAAGGAAGTATTTCATACCAGATGTCTACATGTACCTATGCTTTAGAAAACACAGCAGAGTCAAGTCAATGTTAAAAATCCCTGTTTTCAGGGACAAAGTACCTCTTATTCTCAACTTCAGTGCATTTCCAAGTCTCTCAGAATGTACACGAAGCATCTCTCTCTTTAAAACAAGTTAAACTACGGAGTATGATCTAAATGTGACTTAAACACACATTTTTATCAAAATCTTTTCTCTCAACATGCTCCATCTCTTCCTTGTTAACTGAATTCTAAAATAGTATATAATCTTATTAGAGATATGTACATACGCAAGAAGTTGCAGTCCTTAACATCATCATGTCTCCTATGCTACCATATTGGGCCCATTCTCTCCAGAGTAATGGAAAGAATAGAGAGGCACCACTCTGAACAGTTTAATTTTTATCTCCCATTCACAGGGGTATAAGAACACCAGATTCATATCTATTATTGTATACCTTCACCTCTCACTGCAACACCTGAGCTCCTGGTCACCTACATCATGAGAGACAGACATATTCACTTTTGCATTGCAAATATTTAAGAACAGATTCAGGCAATTCTCTGAAGTTCAAACCATCCAAAAGTCATTGATTGTGCTCTGATAGCTGAGAACAGCCCTTCTTTCCTTCACTCACAGAGCCAGTCCCTCCTCTCAGAGCAACACCACAGCACATTATTCTGTAGCTACAGGGTAGGTGAGTTTTCAAAAGATGACCTCAGCGCTCCCTCACCCACAGAGGATCACCTCTGTCTGACAGGAATCAGTCAGTCTTTCAGAAGCACCCCCCTGCCTCCCAGACACAGCCTTGTACTACAGCTGAAATCCTCCTCACAGAAAGCAAAGCCAAAGAGTGCTGTGAATGCCACTCAATCATTTAAACAGATGCTGCTACTACAGAAATGAAGTGGTGTTACTGGCCATCTTTGCCCTTTACTGCGGCTCTCTGAAAGCACACATCTCTAAGATCACAAAGTGTATAGGATAACATATTTGAATCACTTGCAGGATATCATTGCTCCACCTAGCCAGCCTAACCAGCTGTGAATTTAACGTTGCAATTAAAATTCAACTGAATTTAATGAATAAACCAAGAGCAGTCTGATACTGCAGAATAGCTTCAGATATTTAGTTTCAAGGACTTTTATCATTTACTTATGCTACTTTTAAAGTCAACTAACAAAAATAGGGTCATAGCACAAGCAACATGCAGCCCCTGGTTAATTACAAAGAGCAGACTTGTTTTGCAGTTCTCCTGAATATGTACTTTGATACAAACCATCTAACAGCAGAGAGCTAATAAACACACACACTCACAGACACTTCATCTCCTGCAATGTGTTTTTCTAACTTCCTGTTAACTGACATGCCTGGTTAAGTGAAAGTTGGTCATGTCCCTAGACAGCAATGTGCTTCATGCGGTGCTCACCCACTTACCCACAACTCCATTATTCTGAAGGTTTCAGATGTCTCTCCAGATAAGCAGGGGAGTAATGCACGGTGCACATGGCTGTCAGGGGACACGACCGACTTACAGTTAACCAGGAGCCTCAAGTTAACCAAAGGTTGGATAAACAAGGACAAATAAGCTTCTAGATTATGCTATTTTCTGCATGCTCAGAGTTGTTTCAGTGTTTCATTTAAATAACACAGTTCATCTAATTTAATTTAGAAAAATCATAGGGGAATAAATGTTCAGGAAAGAAGCCCATAGATGAACTTCTGTTTGGAATTTTCATTTATGACTACAATTAACTGTCATTTATTATTGTATATACACTGAATTTCTTCTTGGCTATGAAAGTAATCTTTTGCCTTCACAGAAAAAAGAAAGCTTGTTATTCCATATGGTTCTTTAGGCCACATGAGTTCTGTTTTCCGTGTGGGTTTTTAAAATTTTAAATAGCATAGATCTATGATAGTATTATGTATAGACTACCTGTGCATAAGAACGTTATAGTCTTGAGACAGTTATTCAGAATCTGAGAAAACCCTTATGGAAGTGATCACGGTGTAAAAGAGCTAGATACTACACAAGATAAGCAGGATGGAAATAAAATCATCTCAGAATGACACGTCTCAGGAACAATACAGAAGATTCAAAAGAAACTGTCCATGAGAATCCTTTACAAACATTATGAATGCAAACAGATTAGCCCCTAAATTATGTAATGGGTAATGAACTCCAAAGGATAATGCTATTAGAATAAAAAGCAGAATTATTTCATGTATGTGAAAGACTTAAAAATAATGAAAAAAAACCCCAAAACAAACAGAAGGAGCAAGGTTGTTTGTGGTGGGTTTCTTCCCCCCTCACAACATGAATCTCTTGGAGACAGACCACCTTACTCCATGCTAGGAGATTTCCAAGAAAACACCTCAGCTCTGTCTGCATTTTAGCTATGTGCATCCAAGAATAGGCTGAGGATACTATTTTTGAACCTATATGAATCTAGAACACTTAGAATTGTTTAGTTTCCCAGTCCCACAACAAACTACTTACTCTCAACGAAATTCTACACAGCTTTTGCACATTTTTATTTATTAAAGAATCAGCTCAGACTCTCCTAACTCCCCAGATATTAAATAGAATTTGGTTAATGCAAGAAATTACAGACTTAACATCTATGACACTGACACTTATTTAAGGTAGGTAACAAATTACCTTTTAAATATAAACAGAGTCTATGAAAAAAGATTACCTTGATCACAGCACATACTAGCGGAACACATACAAAACAACCTGTATTTATCTGAAGGTGTTTTGTCTATGTAGATATTTTAATTACCCTTCTGCTTTTATCAGCTGCTACAATTTCTCCTTAACACACAGTAGGTAATTGCAGAGCCTATCATGTCATAGCACTGATGAGTATATTTTTTCTATTACTCTACTCATAATGTAGCAATGATTAAAAGAATACCACTGTACTTTCATGTGCATTATTCTTATCTCAGAAACCTTCATTTCGTAGTTACCAATTCCTGTTGACAATGCCCAGGTTATTTGCCTTAGGTTAGATGCCTAACACCGGAGACAGAAGAGGAGAGCATTCAAAGAGGGCTGGATACTGGGACAGACAGATCTTTGGCAGGTTTTAGAACAGGGGACAGAGTTCAGGACCTTAAATTTCTTTCCAGTTAAAGAAGTTCAGAAACAGGAAGAGTACCTGCACACAGGTGGATATGATGTAAGCTTTCTTCTATTTTTTCTATGCTGTTTTAATATGTATAATTCAGGTTGTTGTCAAAACACAGAGATCTCTGTTTTTATATAAAAGCTGCAAGTTATGGGTATAAAAATGCAGTTGCTATGCTATAACTACTTTAGTGTACCACGGGTGTAGGTCCTTGGTCTATTGATCCCTTGACAGAGCATTTTGACTAGACTATATTTGATAAGCATACTTGGTAATGACTTATTATGCCTGGCAAGCTTAGTAAACTATTTTTTTCCTTGTCCTAAAATCTCCTTTGGTTTCTCATTTTTATGTACTATTTTAAAGAGATGGTCTGGCCAGACTAAAATACCTATTTCTCTCCTTATGGTCTTGCATTGCATCAATTGAAAAGGCATCAAACTTTTATGCCATCAAGAACTCATGGCAAGAAATGTGCAACCTCTACCTAAATTCTGCATGAATTTAAGATATGTGCCACACAGAGCTGAAACTGGACTGCTTTCTCTTTGTAGTCTTATTCACATAGCACGACCTCTACCAGCTTCTCCTACGAAAGGAGAAAAGCTTTCATTTTACTAGATAACTTTGAGGTTAATTGTGTTACAGACTTGAGAGAGAAGGCTGTTAAGCCTTGGATAATTGTTTTCATGTAGAGAGCTGTTATTTCCAATTACTTCTCATGCTAACAACCACTTAAGTTTGCTGTGCTTGTGATTCTGTTTTGTCACAATGTTCAATACGTTTTACAGTCACCAAAAATCTTTAATTCCTTATCACAATGAAAATTAAATCCTCTTTAATCTAAAAATTACTATGAAATACATGTGATTCAATAGAGCAACAACATGTATTGCAGCATCCAAAATGAATCCTGAAAAGCATGCCATTGGATTCCAGAAAAAGCCCTGTGGATGCCTCTTCCCTTTAACTGCAGGAGAAAACTTAGCACTCGAATTCAAGGATGTTTATACTGGAATGCAGTTTTTATATATAATAATTGGCCATTCATACTATTGTAAGCATTATCCTATTATTTTTCCACTCTAAAACAGCCTTCAGAACTGCTTCTACAGGAAAATGCCACCTTTAAGAACAAAAAAATGCATATTTTAACATAACAGGTTTCATATTTTTCCAAATATACAAAAGAAATTAAGGAGGGTATATCTGTTCATAAGGGTTAAACAAAGAAATAGTAAAGAAAAAACATATGTTCTTAAAGAAAAATAGTCTAGGAATTGGAAAGTGCTGCTGCACTAAATTTGGCCCAACTTCACAGGCATCCAACCAAGTCAAGCCCTAAATACTGACATTCCCCCACACAAAACTATTTAAGCTATTTTAATTAATTGAGTCTCTTGGTTAATTCCATAGCACAATCCTATCATTTCTACATTTCTCTGAGACATAAATACCACAAGCAAAATATCATCTATATTAACACTATTGGCAGCTGTGTGATAATGCCCTGGAAAGCCTGCCTTATCATGAATGTTTGGCAAATACTTTTCAAAATATCAGTGCTGACAACTCACTCTCCTGAAGTCATGTATGTGTATACAAAGGTGTTATGTTAGATCACACAGTTTGTATGTATTATCATGAAACCACAGGATTTACTATCGTAAAGTCAACAAACCACATTTCTATCATGACAAG